GGGTGGGGCGGGGTCGCGGGGGCCGCGGGGACACCCGGTGGCCAGTCGGGAGGGCGGCGCCCCGAGGTGGGCTCAGCCGGCGCCCCGTACCCTGGGTCACCCCGCTGATTCCCGGTGCTTCTGGTCCGCAGACCCCGAGGACGCAGTCATGCCGGGCGGGGCCGAGGCGGGAGAGGCCGAGGAGGAGGCTGGGGCCGGCTCCGGGTCCGAGGCGGAGGAGGACGCGCTGTGGGAGCGGATCGAGGGCGTCCGGCACCGGCTGACGCGCGCCCTCAATCCGGCCAAGCTCACGCCGTATCTGCGCCAGTGCCGGGTCATCGACGAGCAGGACGAGGAGGAGGTGCTGAGCACCTACCGCTTCCCGTGCCGCGTCAACCGCACCGGTGAGCCACGGGGGCTCGGGGGGTCGGGCCTGAGCCGGCGGTGACCCCTAGTGCTGCGCACAGGACCCTGGGGCGCGAGGCCAAGGGCTCTGGTCCCCACATCCGTAGAGGGAGATGGCTGGTGTGCCCACCATCCTGCCTCCTCCCAAACCATCATTACGACCCAGCGAGTCTGCGGCGCCCACACCGGCGTCAGGGTTTTATCTGTCTTGGGGTTTCCTCCCACTTCCTGGGCCCACAGTAGGGTAGGGGGTTGGATGTGGTCTCCAGGGCAGGCTAGGCCTGTGACCTCCGGGTCACAGCTGCTGGACTTGGCGTCCTCTGTTCTCTTTGATCTCCTCCGTCTCTCTGCCTCCTCCCTCTGGGAACCATACACTCTTTGGAGAGTCACTTTCCCTCAAGTGCTTAAGACCCATCTCAGCTGAATGAGGGTCTCCTCTCCCACCGGGTGTGTCTTTGAACCAGGGCTGGCAAAGGGTTGAGGGTCTAATGGACTTCCAGGCATTGACCAATGGAAGAAATATTTTACTTTCGGTCTGGGGATAGACGGGGCTTCTCTGTGTCCTTGAAAAGGCAGGCAGTGTTTGTTGGCCCTGCATCTGTTCGTGTGTGGGGAACAGGCAGGGGTTTGGGGCCCTGTTGAAGCACAGGTGCCATGGGGGTGGGGTGGGGTCCTGGCCTTCCTGTCTGTGGCCGACTGGCTTTGCCCCTGATGTGTTGAGACAGGTCCTTGTGTGTGTTAATGGCTTAAAAATCTGGGGAACTTGAACCCTGGAACATTGGCGGGAGAGGAAGTGGCCAGGTGCTCCGGGAAGCCCCCAGCTTGAATCCTGGGCACGCTCTCACCACTCCCAGGGCGCCTGATGGACATCTTGCGCTGCCGTGGCAAGAGGGGCTACGAGGCCTTCCTGGAATCCCTGGAGTTCTACTACCCCGAGCACTTCACGCTGCTCACTGGCCAGGAGCCTGCCCAGCGCTGCTCCATGATCCTCGGTGAGTCGGTCCAGCCTGGGTGCCGCCCTCAGACACCACCACAGATGTTCCTTGCCCCATTCCTGTCAGGGAGGCACTCCCATTATCCCTGTTGACCACATGGAGAGACTGAGGCACAGAGAGACCTGAAGCGGTTTGCCCAAGGTACCACAGCAGGCTGAGCACGGGGCTGGGGTTCTAATCTAGTTAGTCTAACAAAACTCTTTCCTCCTTAAATTGTTTTTGAACATGTATGTGGTGGACATACATGGATTTACAGTCTCTTGTGTAAAAAATTCAAACACTCCAGGTGACTTTAGAATAAAAAAGGTCTTTGCTTCTTCCTTCAGCTCTACTCTGCTGGGAACAGCCTGGCAAGTCTCCCTTTTCTTTGCATTTACACACACACACACACGCGCGCGCTCGCGCACGCACGCGTGATCATCCTACATGTGTTGCTCCGTATTTTGCTTTATCTCAGAACAATGGATTTTCGTGATTTTTCCACATCTGTCACACGTGTTTTAAATGACTACATAGTATTCGTTAGTGACATTGTGCCATCAGTCATTTAACTGGGTCCCTGTTGATGATATCTAGGTTGTTTCTAGTTTTGCAACATTACAAACAATGCTGGGAACATCATTCTATGTGCATCTTTGTGCAAATGTGTATCTCAGGAGGAGAGGTTCTGAGAAGTAAAATTTCTCCAAGAGTATGTGTATTTCACATATTAAATCAACATACATCCCACCAGCAGTACCCTCATGCATCATGGGGATAATTTAAAACATTTTTACCAATGTGACATGTCAAAATAATGTTATTTTGCATTTGTCCTTCATGAACTACTTAAGAGATGTAGTTCACAGTTTACTAGTTAGTAAACCTTGGGCAAATGACTTGACTTTTTTGTGCCTCAGTTTTCCTGTCATTAAGATGGATACAATAATAATACTTATCTTAAGTGTTATCATGAAGATTAAATAAATTAATATATATATATCTAGCCCAAGAATAAAGTTAAATGTTAGTGACTATTACTATTATTATTGCTAGTGAGTTAGAGCATATTTTCCTATGTTTGTTAGCCATTTTTGGGGGAGACTTACCTGCTGATAGTTTTTACCCATATTATTATTTAGTTGTTTATCTTTTTTATTGACTTATAAAAGCTCTTTATATATCGTGGCTCTGAATCCTTTGTCATATTTTCCTCCCACTCAGTTGCTTGTCTTTTAACTTTGTTACACCTTTCATCATTCAGAAATTTTAACCTTTTTTTCTGGCTTTGTCCATCTTTCCTTTTATAGCTCCTGGATTTTATGCCTCGTTTAGGAAGGCCTTCCTCACTCCCAGATTATCAAAATATATTCCAGAATTTCTTTCTCGTGTTTTTACGGTTTGGCTTTTTCTTTGCAGTTTGCCATTCCCCTGGATTTTATTTGCCTGACTTGACTTTTCTCTCCCGTGTCCCTGGCAGATGAGGAGGGGCCCGAGGGCCTGACCCAGTTCCTGATGACGGAGGTGCGGCGGCTTCGGGAGGCTCGCAAGAGCCAGCTGCAGCGGGAGCAGCAGCTGCAGGCCCGGGGCCGGGTGTTAGAGGAGGAGCGGGCAGGGCTGGAGCAGAGGCTGCGGGAGCAGCAGCAGGCTCAGGAGCGCTGCCAGCGGCTGCGGGAGGACTGGGAGGCAGGCAGCCTGGAGCTGTTGCGGCTCAAGGATGAGAACTACATGATCGCCATGCGTCTGGCACAGCTCAGCGAGGAGAAGAACTCGGCCGTGCTGCGCAGCCGTGACTTGCAGCTGGCGGTAGGCCCTGGGAGACCGGCGGGGTAGAGTGGGGAAAGGGATGACCTTTGCAGAAACCGACAGTGATGTGGTAGCCGGCTTGTGTTCCGGAGCTGCCACCTGCCAGCTATTGGACCACGGGCGAGTCCCTTCATGGATCTGTGCCTCACCGTTTTCATCTGCAGTGTGGGGGTGTTGATGGCACTTATTTCATCGAGTTATGACCATGGTTCTCAACCCGGGGGGTGGGGGTGGTTTTGCCCCTCAGAATCATTATTCCATTTCCAGAAATATTATTGGTTGGTATAACTAGGAGTGGGATATTGGCATCTAGTAGGTAGAGGTCACAGGGAAGCTGTTAAACATCCTGCTAAACAGTGCACAGGACAACCCCACAACCAAGGGTTAGTGAGCCCAAAACAGCAGTAAGTACCAAGGTGAAGAAGCCTTGGGTTACGAGGGGTCCACGAGTTTAAGGCAGGTACAGTTCCTGGCACAGAGTTAGTGCTCAAAATCTGTATCATCGTTAGCCATTGTTGTTAGTATTTTTAAGTGCTGCTGTGTGCCACGCAGGTGACATGTATCATGCCATATGATCCCAAGAAGACACGTTGTTAGTATTTTTAAGTGCTGCTGTGTGACATGTATCATGCCATATGATCCCAAGAAGACACCATGCACTAGGTTCTCGTTTTGAAACACAGCCACTGAGGCTTCGATTGTACTTGGACTTGCTCATCACAAAGCCAGGAAATGGAACAGCCTGGATTTGACCCAGGTCTGCCTGGCACCAGTGCTGGCCCCCGCCCCATGATGTTTTTCTGCCCGCTCCCGTCCAGGTGAAATCTCACCCAATCCTCTCCAGCAGCGGGTGAGGCTGCTTCTCTTACAGGCATGGAAACCGAGCCTCACTTTCTTGGTTTCTTATTGGCACTTAGCATGAGGATGAAGCTGGTATTTTACTGCCCCAGGGAATTGTTTCAAGGATTTAACAAGCTAATGTTTGGCAAGGATTTAACAGCGCTGGTGGCACACAGTAGGCTCTCTCCAGCAATACTGTGCCAGGTTCCACGGGGGTGGGGGGAGTCTAACTATGGGATTTGAAGCCCCCTGACCCCATGAGCCTGGCCGAGAGTGTGGCATTGCAGGCTGTGACAGGCGTCTGTGGGAGACTGTGGGTGTGGGTGCACCGGTGCAGGAGCCTGGTGCATGACAGTAGATCGATGTTTGGGGAGGTGAGTCCTAATCGGGAGTGTTGAGGCCACAGGTTGAGGGGCTCAGGCTGCCAGGCCCGCTGGAGGGTGTAGGAGGCTGATACATGGTGTGAAGTGACCAGGAGGCTGTCTGTCCTCTAAGGGCCTGCTTGGTGTTTGGTGTGAGATGGGGCTGTTTGAGGTCCAAAAACTGGCTGCAGATTGAGTGAAGGGTGGCACGGGCAAGGCTTCCCTCGCTGTGCCCCAGTTTCCTCGTCTTCCTAGAAGCGGAGGTCATGGAGAAGAATGATTTAACAACAAAACAGCACCTCCTATGCGCCAGGCATGGTACCCACTGCTTGCCACGCGCCAACTCCTTGAATTCCCTAGCAACTCTGTTGGGACGGGATGGGGGCACTATTATTGTCCTCATTTATGCACGAGGAAACTTAGGCCCAGAGAAGTTGGTTGGAGCACTTTCCAAGGTCCCAAGATTGAGAATTTTTGACTTCACTTGGCATTGCTGGGGCGGGGCGGGGTGGGTGGCAGGTGGGGAGAACTGGGGTCCCCCCTCTTTACCCATGTCCTATTTTTCCAAAATGCACATGAGACGGGCTGTGAGGTTCTCTTGGAAGAAAGGGTTCCGTCACTCAGAGAGGACAGCGTGTTGGCTACCAGTCCAGGGGTGTTTGTAGGGGCTGTGGCTAGACTGGCTTGTCTCACCTTTGGGTTGGGTGTGATTATGAGTTGGGCCCCCTGAAGTGGTGAATGTATGCACGTGACTGGGGGGAGGGTCTCTTGTGTGTGTACAGCCATCTGGGGTCTCCTGGGGTGGGGTAGGGGGATGAGGAAGAGGTGTTGCAGGTGCCTCTGTGTCTCCATATTGGTTGCAGGTGTGTATAGTATGAGCATCTAGGGATGAGGTAATCTGTCACTAGACAGAGAATGGCTGCTTTTTCCTAGTTTTGGGGGATAGAAGGTGAGGGGTAAAATTCAATTAGTAGATAAGTTTTTCTTTAAATGTAGCTACTATAAATTTGCCTAAATTTTTAGAGATTTTGCCACAAAATTAACAAAGGCATTGCAGATGGAAATGAACAGAACAGCTGATGGCACCTGTCTTGGCAGCTTGGGTCCCCTTCCCCCATGGACAGGTGTGTGGTGGCTGTGATTTAATACTGTGTTTTATGAGGTGCGAATTTAATGAGCTGTTATTTCTAAGCAACATAAACTTAAGGAACCAATGCTATAATTTTGTGCTAAGTGAGTTTGTACAGCAGGATTAAATGCATCCGTATTTCCTGGCATTCAGAGAAGACTCCCAGATGTCCTATCCCGAGTTCATCGTGGGGAGCTTGCTGGCCAAGGGTCGGGCAGGAGGCCATGGTGCGTGGCTGTGGTTTGCTAGAGAGGGTGTGACCACGTTTGCCCTTGGAACTAGCTGACTTTCTTTGGCGGTTCACAAAGCATGTTTTGTGAGGGGAAAGGAATGTGAGAGTCATGAATTTCTGAGTCCTTTGCGGAGGAGTAGTATTGTGGAACTGCCTGACCTAGCCTCCAGACCCGTGTGTGTGTGTGTGTGTGTGTGTGTGTGTGTGTGTGTGTGTGTATGCGTGTGTGCACTGCCATCCTAGGCTCTGAAAGGTGGGGGGCTGCAAGTCATTTTGCAGAAGAGGCCAGGGCACCAGATGTTGGCATGCCTGTGTGTAGCACCAGAGGTCATTGTGCCCTTTTTCCAACAATGACTTCATTTTATAGCCTGCCACCTATTGCTACTCTTGTCACTGTCTAGCTCCTTCAGACCCCACATGAATTTGGAACATAACTCTGGCTGAGTGCCCTCATAATCCAGCACACTGCTCATGCGTATCCGCTCTCAGCCAGGTGGCTACCAGCTGCCCGTCCACCACCCTGGCCAGCTTCTGGCTGCACACACTGAGTGGGTTATAGGTTGGGGTTCTAGGATTTTATTTAAAGCTATGAAGACAGCCACTGTCACACCTCTGGCATTTCTACAGCCAGAGGTGTGACAGTGGCTGTCTTCATAGCTTTAAATAAAATCCTAGACAGTGTAAAGGTCTCTGTCCGTGCTCTGTCTTATTTGATTCTTGCAATGACTTTGGGAGGCTGGTGGTGGAGCTGGGGATTGGATGGGCCCATTTTACTGATGAGCAAACTCAGGCCCAGAGGAGGTAAGCGACTTGTTCAGGATGACAGGGGCAAAAGTGGCACAATCGAAACCTGGACCCTATGTTTGGAGTTCTCGTTGGGGATGAACCAACAGCACTGTCTTCCTGAGGGGGAGCCTGAGGAGGGATGTCTTTACGGGAGGATCAGACTCACCTCTGTTCTGTGAGCGTATGGAGTGCTGGGAGGCTGGGCGGCAAGGGAACCTCCTGGCTTTCAGGCTGGGTGAGACCCTCACAACCATCCTCCTCCGCCTCTCCCCCTGGAGATGAGGAGACTGAGGCACAGAAAGGGGCCATGACTCGCCCAAGGCCACACTGAACTAGAGGCAGAACTGGGCCCAGACCCTGGTTCCCCCTGTTCTCGGTGTCGCCCTCCTCCTCCATCGTGCTGGCACTGGGCTCCATCGCCTGTGCTTCACGTCAGGCGTGTGGGATGGACAGGTGTGCTGTGATGCAGCACCTCTGCCCACGGCTCCTCGAAGCAGAGTTCCTGGGAGGGTGGCTTGGCCTTGCTGCCCCCTTCCTTCCTCATCTTACATGCCCAGCCTGTACTTTCTTTAGAGACGAGTCCGGGAGGATGCCTGCGGGATCCGGGAGGCACCCCGGCATGAGGAGCAGGACCTCTCGCCATTGACCTTGTTGGGGCCCCTACCGGGGCTGACCCATGTCTCGGTGCCCAGGTGGATCAGCTCAAGCTCAAGGTGAGCCAGCTGGAGGAAGAGTGCACACTGCTGCGCAGGGCCAGGGGCCCGCTCCCCGGGGCCGAGGAGAAGGAGAAGGAGCTGGACAGCGCGGACCTGGTCTCTGAGCTGCGTGCCGAGAACCAGCGGCTGACCGCGTCCCTGCAGGAGCTGCAAGACGGCCGGCAGCAGGTGAGAGGGGTGGCACTGGGGGGCAGAAGCAGGGGCAGACGCTCCTGCCGCCCTCTCATCCTCCTGAGGCCAGAGAATGAGGACTCTGTCCCCGGGATCTGAGGACTGGGTGGCCTCTTGTCTAGCCCTGAGCGGAGGGTGCTTAGTGCTTGGCTCTCCCTGGGGTTTAGTCTAGAGTCTCTGAACTCCCTGAAACTGTGCACCTGATTTTGTACGTGAGCATTTTTGGGGGAGAGGGCCCCCATTTTTCCTCGCATTTGTAGAGGAGTCTATGACCCTGGAAAGGTTGAGACCCCGAGGTCTGAGTTGCCCCAGGCTTGCTGAGTGTCCTGTGGCAGGTCAGTGGTAGTGTGGGTGGGCTGTCTGGTCCTTGCTCCACATAGGAAGTGGGGGATGGGAGCCAGGGCTCTGGTGTATTTCATAGGGTTGGGGGTGCCTGGCTGGGGTATAGGTCTGGATCTTGGACTTGTGGTCTACCTGCCTGGGCCAGGCTCAGCTGCTGGGATGACCCCTTGTCAGGAAGGTGGGGATAGGCTTTGGAAATAGCCACCCGTCTGCTATCCTGGTTGACGGGTGGGGACCAGAGCAAGGGAGAGTGGGCCTGGTTTTTGTTTGGGACCGAGATCTTGGCTGAACTGTCCCAGCATGCCCTCATCCACTTACCTCATTTACACCCCAGATGCTCCCTGGAGGGTGGGCAGGGCTGATGGGGCTACACCCACGCTACGTACAGGAAACTGAGGTCTAGAGAGGCAAAGGCCCTTGGCCAACATGGAAGAGCTAGTGGGGTGGGTCCGAGGGCCAAAGGCTCCGTGTCCCCCTTCCCTCTAATACTTGAGGTGGGCCCTGGGCCAGAGGTTGAGGCAGCCCTGAACTCTGACCCCCAGGAAGCAAGCAGGCCGGGGGCCCCAGGCTCAGAGCGCATCCTTCTGGATATCCTGGAGCATGACTGGCGGGAGGCACAGGACAGCAGGCAGGAGCTGTGCCAGAAGCTGCACGCTGTGCAGGGGGAGCTGCAGTGGGCTGAGGAGCTGCGGGACAAGGTAGTGTCCACTGTGCACCATCCCCTACCTTGCCTTGCCCCCACCTTCCTTCTCACTAATAGCCTGGAGAGGCTCCTGGCGAGGGGAGGGTCGTGGGCATCACCAGTTTACTTGAGCCAACCTTTTGTGCAGGTGTGGCAGGCACTGTGCTAGGACCTGTGCATTCATTCATTCTCAAGTATTTATTGAGATACATCAGTAAGCAAATGTCTACTCCTGTGGAGAGTAAATTCCAGCAGGGGAGACAAACCATATGCCATACACGCATCCTTGTCAAAATCCTTGTCAACCACTTCATGTAGCGGAGGGTGATGAGGGCTGTGTAGCGGAGGGTGAAGAAGCACAGCAGGGGTGGGGGCAGATGACAGCTAAAACGGGGAGGCCAAGGTTGGCTGGGAGGGTGTCGTTATTATTGTTAGTCCCATTTTACAGATGAGGTAGCTGAGGCCTAGTGAGGTAAAGTCAGGCCCAGCTGGGGAGGTGGGCACTTGTTATTGGGGCTCAGGCCTCTTTCCCCGGACCTGCTCGGCACCTGCTGGTTAGCTTCCCCTGGTCCCCAGCCCTGTGGTCTGTCTGACCTGGGCGTGTTCTACCCTGCACCACTCTGCCTGCCCACCCGACCATAGTACCTGCAGGAGATGGAGGACCTGCGGCTGAAGCACCGCACACTGCAGAAGGACTGCGACCTCTACAAGCACCGCATGGCCACCGTGCTGGCCCAGCTGGAAGAGATTGAGAAGGAGCGAGACCAGGTGAGCCCAGCCTGCTGCGTCCGAGGCCCTGGCCTGGCCACTGGTTCTCGTACGGCAGACTTGAGAAGCGGGCAGGACTAAAATTGGAGAAAAAAGACTTTCGCAGTGTACTGATTGGTTTAGGAGAGGGCGAGTAGGCTGGGAGAGACACAGACATGGGACCTCGAGTGCTCGAGATAGGCCATCCTTGCCCCCTGAACACACCTTTCTCCCCTGAGCTTCCGGGACTGTTAGGAAGGCTGCTCCTGGCACTCTTCATTTCCGAATCCCTGTGCTCTCCACGTCAAGGACAAGGCCTACACAGGGGAGCTGCTCGCAAATATTTGCTGATGAAGACATTCTCAAAAGTTCTGGCTCCCAGGCCTTAGGCATCATGGCCCTCATCACTTGAGGTTAAGGGGTGGGCTGAGGACCTGGGCCAGCTTCTCCAGGCCCCCACCCCTCCTACGTGAGGTTCCCGTGCAGGGGGAAGGCAGAGGATTTTGTCCTTGGACCAAGTTTGAGTTCTACTAGAGGAGTTAAAGTCTACACATTAGAACGGGCTTCGGGATCCCCTGATGGGCTTGACGAAAAGACACATTGGAGGTTTCATCCCCAGACATTCTGATTTTGTGGTCTGGGTGGGCCCAGGGATCTGTACTTCACCCAGTTGCTCTCAGCCCTTGGGCCTCTGGCTCCAGCTCCCTCTGAAGCAGTGGGTGGCAGGCCTGGGCCACAGGCCCAGGTTTCAGACACCCTGTGGGGAAATGTGCTTTGGATGCAGAGGGATGGGTTTGTACCCAGACTCCTCTACTAGCGGCGATGTGGTGAATAAAGTCAGCAACACACAGTAGGTCTTATAGTTTTAACTTGTTCTTGGGAATTGGGAAGAGCCGGGACTCTGCAACTAGACCGCCTGGATTTGAGTCTCAGCCCTGCCCCTGCTGCCTTGTTTCCTTATCTATAAAATGAGAATAATGGGAATCTCTAACTTGAAGAGTTAGTATGCAGATTCAACGAGCTGGTGTTTAGCACAGGGTCTGGCACACAAGAAGTGCCATTCCTGCCGCCACCCCCATTTGTGCGGTCAGAGGCCAAGACAGCTTTCACCCTCCCTGCCTGCTCTTCCCAGGCTATCCAGAGCCGTGATCGGATCCAGCTGCAGTACTCACAGAGCCTCATCGAGAAGGACCAGTACCGCAAGCAGGTGCGGGGCCTGGAGGCCGAGCGGGACGAGCTGCTGACCACGCTCACCAACCTGGAGGGTGCCAAGGCCCTGCTGGAGGCACAGCTGCAGCGAGCCCAGGGTGGCCCCTGCCTCAAGGTGACAGGGGCAAGGGAACAGGGGTCCTGGTGGGTATGCTGGGGTCTTGGCAGGAGCTCTTGGCCAAGGCTGGGAACACGCAGGACCCTGTGGGAAACCTCAGCCAGGGGCGGAAACATGGGGGAACTGGCAGGAGTCCTCAGCTTGGAGTGGGAATTGCAGGACTAGGTGGGAACCTTTACTGGGGGTGGGACCACATGGGACTCATTAGGACGCCTCATCTGGGCTTGAGAAAATGCAGGCTCTGGGTCCTGGCCAGAGCCCACACCTTAGGTCAAGAACATGCTGGTCTTGGAGGGAGCTCTTGGCCAGGACAGAGAATACGCCGGTCTGGTGGGGGGCCCCAGCTGGGGTGGGTGTGGGTTGGTGCATCAGGGAACAGGATGGAGGCATGTGGGTCTCTGAGTTTCTGGGGTTCCTGGGGCACCAAGACTGCCTTTGCATACACTTGGAGAACCCTAGCTGCCCGAGGGCCTGTGAGCATCTTAGAATGTAAAACGTGGGCTCTCGAGCCCCTCAGAGACCAGTTAGTCCTAGTCCCTCATTGCAAAAGGCCCAGAGAGAGTCAGGGCCTTGCTTAAGGTCATAGAGCCAGCCAGTACTGGAGCCCGAGGTTGGGGAGGTGGGGGGTGGGGTGCTCAGGACCTCTGCCAGGAACTCTGACTTTTCCCATCTTGGGTTTGCTTGGAGATGATTAACTGGCCAGATGTTTAATACTTGGAAGAATAGAACAAAGGAAGTGTGAATCTGTGACTTCTCACTTTTTAACACCCTCAGTGGTTTTTTGCTTAGGTAAAGACAAAGCCCCTTACCCTGTCCTAGAGGCCCTGCAGGTGAGCCCCTCCCTCCCTCTAGCCTGCTCCTCTGGGTCTCAGCCTTTTAATTCCCGAAATGAGTCACAGTCCTGTCTCAGGGCCTTTGCACATACCGTCTTAGCTGCCTAGACCATCCTCCCCAGCTTTACCTACTTAGCACCTACGTATCCTCTAGTTCTCAGCTCAGACCACACTTTCTCTGGGACTACCTGATGTCACCAGGCTGGGCGGGCCTCTGAGCACTTGGCTTCCTGCCCTCCTGGCTGCGTGGGGCTGTTTCCTTCATCTGTTTGCTTGTTTACAGTTCGTGTCCTTCTCTAGGCTGAGAGCTCCACGAGGGCAGAGACCCCGCTCCCTTATTCCCACTGTGTCCCTGTTCCTGGCACACAGCAGGCATTCAGTAAGTGCCCATGGATGTCCCTGGCCCAGCACCGCTGACCTGCTTGCTCCCCTTTCTTCTCCCAGGCCTGTGCCTCCTCCCATTCCTTGTGCTCCAACCTCAGCAGCACCTGGAGCCTCAGCGAGTTCCCCTCCCCGCTGGGAGGCCCAGAAGCAGCTGGGGAGGCAGCTGTCGTGGGGGGACCTGAGCCCCACACTTCGGTAAGAAACCTGCCCCACCCCACATATGGGGAGGACACTGCTGATGTTCACATAATTACTAACACGTAGAATGCTTTCCAGTTTACTGTCAGGTCATTTCACATATGAGGAAACTGAGGCTCACGAAGGCCAAGCGCCTTGTTTCAGTCACCAGGAGCCAGCTCCATGCTGGGCCTGGGTGCCAGGAGACCCGGGGGGGCCACTCACACAGTAATCCTGCAGAGCCCACTTCTCCACTCTGGGCCTTGTTCTCATCTGTGGAATGGGCACAAACAGGTGTGTTGAGCTGTGGGGACGTGCAGTGGAGGTGACCCTGGCCCTGTCGTGTGACCTTGCAGGAGGAGGCCACAGACAGCGAGAAGGAGATCAACCGGCTTTCCATCCTGCCCTTCCCTCCCAGCGCCGGCTCCATCCTCCGCCGGCAGCGGGAGGAGGACCCCGCACCTGCTAAGAGGTAAACAGGCTGGGAGAGAACCACAGGGGCCCGGAGAGGTGGGGCTGCTCGTTCCTGAAACTGCCACCTCCCAGCATCCCTAATGCCGGAGGCAACTTTAGACAGTCACCTCCCTTTAAGGCCTGTAAGCGGCTGGAGCTCTGGAAACCCAGGCCCTGAGCGTCACAGGCATGACTGGGGTCCGAGGTTAAGACAAGGCCCAAGGGCAGAGGGGGCTCCGCCTCAGCCAAGCGCCCTGGTGGGAGAGTCACTAGATATCGAGCCTCTAAGTTCCTAAACTCAGGGGGAAGCCTGGATGGTTCAGGACTAGGGCACGCAGAGAATGTTTCGAGGGTTTAGGGACCTCAGGCAAGAAAGCTGGCCTCAGTAGCCAATGGGGGCCTGAAAAACCAAGCCATCTCCACTGCTGGCAGGGCTAAAGGTGAGGATGTCCTGTCTCCTAGTGTATGTCTGTCACAGGCTTGATCAGATGAGTGAATCTGCCGCAAATGGGGTGTGCGATGAGGGGGTCATGGTCTAGTGCGGGAGGCAGGCCCAGGAGCCACAAATGACAACGTAGGAAGTGAGGGCGAGATGAGGGGTGAGAGGTCAGGGGAGGCTTCCTGGAAGCAGCGGCATTGAGGGACAGGCCAGGGAATCATTCTAGGTAGAGGCCATGGTGCTGAGGTCAGGATGTTAACTTCTTGCCCTGTGAGTTTAGGGGCGCTGGGTGACATGAGTACCCTGTGCCTGGGACCTCAACCTTGAGTCTTAGCCTGTATTTGCTTGGGGGCTGAAGGACCTTTTAGTTGCATGGGGGCAGAAGGAGGGCATGGGGCAGATGCCCACTGAGCCTCAGCTCCTGCCCCTCCCCGTCCTCTCTGCCCAGGTCCTTTAGCAGCATGTCAGACATCACAGGTAAGAGCCCTCGGGGACTGTGGGGAGGGCTCATCTTGGGGGTAGCTTTTTAGCTCACCTAGGCCCATGCTGCCCGCTCTGCCCTTGGCCCGTGTTCACCTCCCTGAGGCCCTGCTGTGCCCTGGCCAGGCAGGAAGGCTATGCCTCGGAGGCCTCTGGGGGAGTTGGTTCACCCTGAGCCTAGTCGTGGTCCTGGCTGTGCTGTGCTGGGCTCCTCCTCAGTTCCGGCCCACCCTCCACCCTCTTCCAGGAAACCGAAGGGTCATCCTGGCCCAGTGGGTCCAAGGTGTTCCTGGGGTGTCGAACCTGCCAAGGCCCCCGGGGCCATCCCTGGGCCCTCCCCTCGTTTCTTAGTCCCTCCGCTTGGCACCCCTGAATTTCACTCCTCCTTCCCAGGGAGTGTAACGCTTAAGCCCTGGTCCCCAGGGCTCTCCTCGTCCTCGTCCTCCGACAGCGTGTGGCCGTTGGGAAAGCCGGATGGCCTCCTGGCCAGAGGCTGTGGCCTGGATCTCCTCAACAGGTACGGAAACAGGGAAACTGCCTGAGGCGGGTGGCGGTTGGAGGGCCGGGTCTCCGATTCCTGGAGAAGGGTGTGCGGGGGCGAGGCGGGAGGGAGCAGCAGCTAAGCCTTCGCTTTATGCACCTGTCAGAGTAGTAAGGTCTTTAGACACAGGCTGAGGGGTTCAAATCCTGTCACCACTGCTTATCGTTTGTGTGACTGGTCACTTCACCTCTCTGGGCCTCAGCTTCCTCATCAGCTAAAAGTGATAGTAATCTCTTCTGCATATGGGTATCTTGAGGTTTAGGACTCGTCAGTAAAGCACCCAGCTTCGCCAGGTGCACAGTAGGTGCTTAGTAAATGGTAGGAGTTAACTTGTACTGACACGAATACCAGGCTCGCCCATCCTCCCCAGCTCTGAGCTCCCGTAGGACTGAGCCATCCAGCGAAGCTTTGTGCCAGGGGTGGGGCCACCGAGGGAGCCCCAGCACCTGGACTGGCTGCAAACCCATGACAGGAGTCATGAAACACATTGGCTCAGAGTGTGCTGCAGGCACTGAGCTCTGCGTGTTGGGCGATGAGTGGCCTCCCTGGTAAGATAGTGAGTGGACCTCAGGACGGGTGATGGAGAAGGCCATGCTGAGAACGTGGCCTTTGAGCTCAGCCATGGAGAGAGCAGGTAGGGAGGGCAGCTGGGTGACTGTAGGGGGAGAGAGCAGAGGTTGTCTGGGGGTGGGCTTGGAGTTTGGTGTTGACTGGAGCACGCCAGGGGGAGGAGGGAAGGCCGAGCCACAGCAAGCTTGGTGAGTCAGGCTGGAAAAGCGTGGACTTTGGCTGGTGCACTCTGGAGAAGCTGCGAGGGTTTAGCTATTACTAAATGCAGGCCAGCTGCTGACTGCCTTACCTCATCCCCTCTATCCTGGTAGGTAGACATTATTAGGATTATTCCTGTTTTATAGAGGAGGAAACAGGCTCAGAGAGGTTAAGTGACTTGCCCCAGGTCACACAGCTGGGAAGTGCCCCGGCTGAGGTCTACAGTGACCTGAGCAGACTTGGGTTTTGGAAAGGGCATAGGAAGCACTGATGTCAGAGCTGGAATATGGGGATGCTGGATGCAGAGGACAGGTCGCACGAGAAATCGGGCATAGCAGGACCAGGGGCCTCCTGCCTCCTGGAAGCAGCTTGGCCAGGCCCATGTCCAGGGCCCTGCCCCCACCCTCACCCCCGGCAGCAGGCCCAGTGTGACATTGTTTCTCTCTGTGCAGGACATGCTTCTGGGGGAAGGGGTGGAGGCACCTCCCTTCCTGCCTGTCTCGGCCCTTCCTCCCTTCCTCCAGCTCAGGCCTGCAGCAGGGGTCTTGGCTGCTGTCCAGGGGGTGCTGGGATGAGGCAGAGGGAGCGGGAGCCATGTGGTTGTGGGGCCACCTCTGCCCACACTGTTCCTGGGGAGGAGGGGGACGGAGGAAGAACGCAGATTGTGGTAGAGGCAGGGGTGGTGGACGCCGAGAGAAAAAGGTGGAGGGACGAGCAGAGAGGGAGGTGAGGGGTGGAGGAGAGGGAGGCGAGGTGCCAGCGCATGTGTCCTGGAGCAATGTGACAGCCCGCGGGGAAAGAACAGATTTTGTTAGTCAACTGAAACCCCAGCTCTGTCACTTGCTCCCGTGGGATCTTGGGCATGTCACTTAATTTCTCAATGCCCCCGTTTCCTGCTCTGTAAAATGGGGTCACAATAGTGCCTGGCCCCTAGGGTCATTGTGGGGGTTCCAGTATTCTTATTTGAGTGCTTAGAGCTGCGCTGGGCTCAGAGAGAGTGGTCATGTTGGCTCTTAGCTGACGTATTGTTGCCCTTGCTTAATTGTCAGAGTAACCTGCAGGGCTGGCATCTTTAGCCCTGTTATCCAGATGAGGAAAACAAGGCTCAGAGTGTCAGGATTTGTCACAAGGCCACTTGGTGGTGGAGTTGGGGACTCCACGGTGCCTTCCTTCCATCTACGCTGCTTTTAATCTCACGCTCGTGTTCAGTACTCACTACGTGCTGGGTGTTTTCCGCCCTCGTCTCTGCTGCCCCTCTGGGCTCCTCGGCCTTGGGGCAGGGCAGTGGGGTGCTGGGGCAGGCCGATGCACGGACCGGTGGACAGGCTGGGAGGCATTGCGGAGTTGCTGAGAGTGTACATGAGGTGCTGAGGAGGAAGGGGCAGTGGGGAGAGCGCAGGTGCTGTGCCCTCAGCCAGGGCCTGCCCCTGCCCACACGTGCTCACATGGACTCAGCATCTCTGGCACCGTCTGTCTGTGTACAAGGGTGCGAATCGGTCATTTCCGGATTTCCAGCAGTTGTGGAACCCTCGTCAAGTTATGCTTCCCTGTGCCTCAGTTTCCCTCTTCTCTAAAACGAGAGGAATAACAGATATCTCCCGTAGGGCTGATTCCCGCCTTCATAGGTCCCTGACCTGGAACAAAGCAGTCGTGCACACTGCCCAGAGATCTTCTCACAGTGCCCTGGGTTAGGGGTGGTGGTGGGGGACACTCACTGAGGCCACTTGGTCCATCACGGCTCAGAGCTGGCAGAATGATGGACTGGCCCTGTTTCCACCCTGTTCCTATGTGACCTGACCTGCTGACCTGACACTGGGGGAGGGGCTGGTGGACGGGGAACCCCATCCCTCACACTGCCCACAGGCAGGACTGGGTTGGATTGTGTTGCTGGAGATCCGGGAGTCCCTGGAGGTTTTAGCAGGCAGCCCAGCCCCCCACCCCCCACACTGTGTTCCTCTCTCTCCGCTTCCTGCTCATTTGCACGGAGGGACTGATCAGAACCCTGCCCGCAGCCAGCCCCCAGGTGGACTCTGAAAAGTGCTGAGCGTTGGTAGCCCGGGGCTGTGGAGGCTCAGAGAAGTCACGTGGTCCCTCAGGGATGTGGGCAGGAGTGTCCTAAAGGAGGGGATGGGATGCCCGAGCTGGGTCTTCAGGAATCAGCAGGAGTTGGCAACAGGAGCCTGAAAACTTGGGGTGGAGGGTCAGATGCTGAAATTGCAGGATGGGGAGGGGCGGGCCCAGGCATGGCGTGCAAGGCCTGGTGCAGGCTGCTAGCTGGGTTCTCGTCCGGGAAAGCTGCGATGGGGAGTGGACCATGGACTTGAAACGGGGGGAAACTGTGGGCCACAGAGGGGTGACTTGTCTCGACTCACCCCTGATGACAGTAAACGTCTAGTTTTCACTGAGCACTCAGTTCTTACCGGGCACTGTTTTAAGAGCATTCCATGTTTTAGTTCCTTGGGTTAATGAAACAGGTAGACGCAGGTGGAGCTGCTGAGGACTGGCGGTTCCGCAGCCAGGTTTTCTGGCCCCGAGTTCCTGTTGTTCGTGCCACATTTCTCAAACTTTTCTGTCTGCAGCCCACAGTGGGAGAAACCTATGCATATGCCTGAGACACAGGCCTGGATTTACTCGAAGGGAGACAGGCTTCTATCTTCTGTTTTATTCCATTAAAACAGAATTTCCCTTCCCACCTAGGAACAGGCCTGCAGTCGGAAGGCCCCAGAGCCTCCGGTCTCCTCTCTTCCTGCATTAACTTTAAGTTCCTTTCCCAGTGAGAGACAGATGCCATCGCCCTCCTTGCCTTATGGATGCGGTGGCCTAGAATCAAGCAGCCAGCTCACTCGCCCAAGTCCAGGGCACAGTTAACACTGGGGTTTGGCGCTGGACTGTGCTTTTCCAGTCATAAGGCCAATGGGCGGTGTAGCCAGGCCCGGCCCCAGGCCTCCCAGCTCTGCCCAGGCCTTTCCACGCCACCTGGATACAGCCAGGACAGTCCCGGGACTGGAGGAGCCCAGGTTTTCTGGCCCCGAGTTCCTGTTGTTCGTGCCACATTTCTCAAACTTTTCTGTCTGCAGCCCACAGTGGGAGAAACCTATGCATATGCCTGAGACACAGGCCTGGATTTACTCGAAGGGAGACAGGCTTCTACTGTTTCATTCCATTAAAACAGAATTTCCCTTCCCACCTAGGAACAGGCCTGCAGTCGGAAGGCCCCAGAGCCTCCGGTCTCCTCTCTTCCTGCATTAACTTTAAGTTCCTTTCCCAGTGAGAGACAGATGCCATCGCCCTCCTTGCCTTATGGATGCGGTGGCCTAGAATCAAGCAGCCAGCTCACTTGCCCAAGTCTAGGGCACAGTTAACACTGGGGTTTGGCGCTGGACTGTGCTTTTCCAGTCATAAGGCCAATGGGCGGTGTAGCCAGGCCCGGCCCCAGGCCTCCCAGCTCTGCCCAGGCCTTTCCACGCCACCTGGATACAGCCAGGACAGTCCCGGGACTGGAGGAGCCTGTGAGGCAGCCCTGATGCCTCCAGCTCCCATGTCTGGCCCCCGGCCCTTGGGCTTGTCTCTTCGTTTCCACTGAGAGGGCAGGAGCCAAGACGGGCTCCCCGGGGCCAAAGTTCCCCCCTCTGGAAGGGCGCTGACTGAGTTGAGGTCCTTGCAGCCTTGCCCACCCCAGGCTGGCAGCAGGGGGCAGTGTGGCCATGTGTGCTGCCCCTGCGAGGGTGGGTGAGGAGGTGATAGGCTACCTGGACTCTGCCTGGGCTACCTCTTCAGCTGGGGCACACCCGCCAACCCTGGCTTCTCCCCTTCCCAGCACCAGGGCCAGGAGGTCATGGAGGAGACTTCCGGTCAGTTTCTCTGACCCTGGCCATAGAGCCTCACCAAGTCTCATCCAGGGACAGGCAGAGACCTGCCGCGATGGGGTTCTTGGTGACTCTTTGTCTTAACCATCAGTGGCTCCCACTGACTGTGAGAGGTAGGCCAGAGGCTAAGCCCTCCATAGGCTGGCTACACCTTGCCTTTTCTGAGAGCTGTTCCTCATGATGTTAAATTAGTTAATTAGGGCACGGAGCTTCGCATGGCGTCTGGCACGGGGGAAGCACCCAGTAAGCGTCGGCCGCTATCATTGTTGTTATTAAATTTTTCCGCACATCCTGTTTTCTGTCCTCCGCACCTTTGCTTATACCTGTCCTCGAGCCTGGAATACGGTCTCCTCTCTGCCTACGACTGAAGCGCTTCTCCTCTTTACTATGGTGTAGCCCAGCTACTTCTTCCTCGGGGAAGCCACGCCCCTTTGTACTCCCGCCGCCAGCTGTGACCATCTCTGATCTGTGCTGTGTTCTAACTGTGACCTTCCTTCCTAGACTGTGAGCATAACAAGCTTTTTATTAGTCATCTGCTGTATGCCAGAGACTGTGTTTGGTGCTAGGGATCCAGAGCTGAACACGACCACGGGCTGGTTCTGAGGGATGAAACAAAGGGGAACACGCGAGGTGCAGATGGTCCGCTCGCGCAGGGAGCTCCACCCCTCCGTGTGCAGGAGTCTGGGAGAGAAAGGTTGCTTTTGACCTGAGCCCTGAAGGATGAGCAGAATTCGCCAGGCAGCGAAGAGGGGCCAGGGCAGTCCAGGCAGTGGCACAGCAGGTGCAGTGGACTGTGGGGTGCGAGTCGTGCTATATTTTGGGAATCGCTGTGGTTTTCCAAGGAGGTTGAATCGAATTAAAATACTGACTGAGCTCCAATCCCCATCCTTCTCTCCTCTCAGGTCTCTGGCCATCCAAGTGTCTGGCCGGAGCCCCCCGGGGGGACCTGAGACCCAGGACAGAGGCTCAGACGGCCTGCCGTTTCTTGGGGACAGCTGGTCTGGGGCCACTGTGGTTCGGCGAGTGCTCTCTGGGCCGGGGTCTGCCAGGGTGGAACCAAGAGAGGTGAGGCCCCCAACTCTGGGCTGGGGCAGAGTTAGTGCTTTAGCCAGGCCTGGATGCCTTCTGATTGGTGGATCTAGGTCACTGGGTAGCGTTTCTAGGGATTGGCCAGAAGGAGGCAGGCTCAGTGATTAGCTGCCGGTTGGCCTGCCTCAGCCAGCATTAAATGAAACCTGATTGGGCAGGAGCTGGGATGTGGGGCAGACCGACAGCACATTGACCGATCTCCCTTTTTAAATATGGGAAGGACCTGGAAGAACCTGCTGGGTGGGGAGTCCTGTGGATGGGAGCAGGGTCTGACTGCCCTCTGAGGTGGAGGCATCTGAATTGTGAGATGTCGTCAGTCCCATACCCAGTCTTCCTCCAGAGCCAGAGCTGTCCCGCCCTTGGAAGCTCACTTCTTTCCCTCTCCACCTTGGTTTTCTCCCAGCCAAGGGCAGAGGCCGCTGGCCTGGAGGGGACAGGCCTGGAAGGCGAGGCCCAGCAGAGAACCTTGCCCTGGAACCAGGTGTCCACACTTCCCTTCCTGATGGACTCCAAGGGTAAGTCTGGCTTGTCTGTTATTGTGCCCTCCCTCTGTCCTCAGTAAGCAGCTGATACAGGACAGGAGTCCCGACACCTGGGTTCAAGTTCTGGTTCTGTCCCTAGTGGGCTCGGTGGCCTTGGGCAAGTCCCGCTCTCTCTGGACCTCAGGCTCTCGCTTTGAGAAGGGGAAGACGGGGTCCTGGCCGCTTGGATGTTGAGAGGGCCATGTCTCTGGCCTCTGCAAGGCTGATCCCTGACTTCCTCCTCCTCTTGTCCCCCTTGCTGCCCCCTGCCCTGTTCACGTCCAGCTTGTCAGTCCTTCCACAAGGCCCTGGATGCCTGGGCGAAGGGGCTTGGTGCCGAGCCCTTCTACATTCGAGCCAACCTCACTTTGCCTGAACGGGCAGACCCCCACGCCCTGTGTGTGAAAGCTCAAGAGATCCTGCGGCTGGTGGACCCGTCATACAAGCGGCGGCAGGAGTGGTTCTGCACACGGGTCGACCCCCTCACGCTGCGGGACCTGGACCGGGGCACGGTGCCCAATTATCAGAGGTGACGCAGAGCCAGGCGCCTGGCGACAGGGTCCCACTGGGAACCGGCTCGGGGTGGGGGCCCGTTCCTCCCTCTGCAGGCTGTCACCACCCTCTGGGCAGGATGGGGGGCTAGAGGAGAGGAAGTGAGGGGCTCCCCAGCTCCCTACAAACACGTGACATGACCCCTTCTCCCCAGTGCCCAGCAGCTTCTAGAAGTTCAGGAGAAATGCCTGCCCTCCAGCCGGCACCGAGGGCCCCGCGGTAATGTAAGCAGGGCTGGGCCAGTTGGGCGAGGGTCTGGGGAGAGGGGCTGCCAGGGGTGGGGTCCGAAAGGGAGGGGCGAGGCTTCATTCTCAGCAGCCCTCGGGGAGGAGAGGAGGGAGGGCCCACCTTGTTCCTTCTCCCGGACTTGGTTGATCGTTTACTATGTGCCAGCAAATGGAAGAACAGGGTTCACGTCCAAGGTATTTAGGACCGTAAATGAGGTGGAGTGTGCCCAGTGCTCAGGAGCATGCCTGGCATGTGGTCAGCGCTTGACAAAACAAGTCACATCCCTTTTCCAATCCCTGGGTAAGGGCCGGGCTGGGCAAGCCTCCCCCTGTACACCGGGGCAGAGTGAGGCTCAGAGAGGTTAAGTAACTAGAGGCCACGCTGCACAGGGGGTTGAGAGTGTGGGTTCTCGAGCCAGACTGCCTGGACTCGAATCTCAGCTCTGCCACTATCAGCCGTGTGGCCTCGGACAACCACCTGATGCTCCCTGTAGGCTCCGTGTCCTTATCTGTAAAATGGGGAATTACGCTGCCTGCCCGGCTCCTCGGCAGAGAAGTCTCAATTGTTCATGCACATGTGGGGCCTAGTGAGTGAGTGTCACATTGGAGGAATTTGACACTTGTCAGCTATTGGTCTAATTAATGCTGTCATTATTGGTTTCGTTAATCTTCCCTCCCAAGGCCACATTGCTAATTCATTGGAAGAGACCCCAGAGTTTGTCTCTTCGGTGACATTAGGTTCCTCTGGTCTCTGGTTCTCGAATTGCCCATCTATAAAATGGGAGGTAGAACCCAAGGCTCCTCCAGCTCTAACTGGCTCTGACAGGCTCCCTTTCCTGGGCCCATAGGGTTAGTTGCCTTTGCCTGTCTGGGGGCTATGCCGGGCCAGGTGGGGACTAAAGAAGGCCTGCTGGGAAAGGGCTCTTCCTCAGGGCCTGGACAGCGGTGGCACAGGGCCCCCTCTGCTTGGCATTGCGTGTGCTCTCTCCGCTCCCCG